CGGGTGGAGGGGCAGCCCCTGGGAAGATGGGAGCAAGTGTGGCCATGTGGGTGCTGCCGGGGGCTCTCAGGCACTGGCTGCAGCTCTGGGGGCTGGTGCCACGGGGTCCCTGCCAAGGCAGGATGGCAATGAGCTAGGGGGACTGTTTGGCTGGGCTTGGCCCCCCTGCACTCCAGCTCCACCCCCCTGCCCCTGCATTGGCCCCTGCTCCCCAGCTCAGGCCCTTCTGGGTCCCATCAGGGCCGTCCCATTGCAGTCAGTGCCTGACACAGGCAAAGTCCTAGGCACTTTGCCCAGAGCCTTCCTCCCCCTCAGTGGCCCTACTGCCCCCCAGCCACACTCCCTCCTGGGCCCGGGCGCAGCTCCCACCAGGCTCCAATACCTCAGTTACCCCCTGCTTCGCTGCAGGCCCCCAGCACAGCCCCTCTGCACTGCACCCCCAGCCCACTCCTCCTGGGAGGGAACCTGGCCAGCACCTGAGACATGGGACCTGCCACACCCAGCCAGAGCTGCCACGTGGAGCCCCCATTCCTGCAAAGGACCACTCAGAGATAGACCAGGCCTCACCCACAGACCAGGACCACGCCCCTAAGCTGCCACTGGCACACACTGTGCCCAGATCCTTTTATACCCTCGGTCTCCTGGGATTCAATCCACAGCAAACTACTATAGAGCCCTGTGAGGGAGCATTGGGGTCCCCCGATCCTGCACCCCCATAGCAGCAAGAACAGACTCCACAGCCAGTAGAACAGGGGGTTTTATTGCTCCTCCGGGGTACAGCATGGCACAGATGTGATGTGGCTACAGGAGCCAGGGCCAGGATGCCTCAGACCCCTTAGGGTAGGGGGTCCATCGCCCCCTTAACCCTCAGCTTAGTCTGTTCCCTTCATGTTTCCCAGCCAGGAACTGCCTCACTCCCAGCCCCTGCCGTGCCTCCCCTCCCCTCCCCTCCCCTCCCCCCAGCCAGCTGGCCGTCTCTGCCTCCCTTTGTCTCTCCCCCTGGGAAGAGCCTTGTTATCTGCTCAGGCTGGGACTAGGTGTCTGGACCAATCCACGTGTGGGTGAGTCAGTGGGAATCGCATCACAGCGTAGGGGGACCCCGATTACAGAGCAGACAGCCCCCCACTACATCACAAGCCACCATTAGGTTTCAGAGTCAACACCAGAGCAGGGGGATGGGGCCCTCCACACACCCCTCCACACTAGCCACATGCAGACGCAGGGAGTCACCTGCCAGCTCCTTGCAGTACCGTGGCTGGAGCCTTAATTACCATGTAACATGCTGAGGCCTTGCGCCAGCTCCCTAAGCCAGGCATGTCCAAAGTCCGGCCCGCGGGCCAAATGTGGCCCGCGGTCGGATTTAATACGGCCCCCCCCTTTCCCCCGCGCCCCCGGGTAACATGCTGAGGCCTTGCGCCAGCTCCCTAAGCCAGGCATGTCCAAAGTCCGGCCCGCGGGCCAAATGTGGCCCGCGGTCGGATTTAATACGGCCCCCCGCTTCTCCCGGCTCCCCGGTGCTTTTTTTAACTGGCGCGCTGAGCGCACCGCTTCCGGCT